ACGGCTGGGTATTGGAAATGCGACGAAGGAAGATGCGTCAGGAGCGGAGGCTAATCTGAAGCTTATTTCGTGGTAAGCCAACGCGAACCTCTCCCCCCGTCGCGCCTGCTGTGCACGTTGATCCGTTCTGAAATGGGTGCGGATTAAATTTTAAGGAACATACAGCGCGGGGCAGCAGGGTCCACGTGGGTTTTTCATCGTAGTGTGGAGAAGATTTATACCCCAGCGTGTCGCAAAATTCGTGTCCACATTAGGAATGTGAACTGGTAACTGGTTGGTGATGCTTGCCGGGTACCAGGTAAGGGGTACCCGGGAGGAGCTACAGGCAGAGGGCTGCTCCAGCCCCATGCATGGAGAGCTGAAAGTAGGAGCCAGTCACCTGCACACAAAGGGATGGAGGTGGGAGCAGGATACACCCTTCCCTTCCCCTCCCCCCCCCCGCCTTCCGTCGCCCGGTTCAGGGGAGCCAGCAGCAGCAGCTGGGAGCCTTGTGGAAAGGGGGCCGAGAGCAGAAGCTGCCCACCCAAAACCCAGGGCTGCTGGCTCTTGCTGCCAGGATCCCACTCAACTGATTAACCAGTTAAACCTAAGATTTAACAGGTTAGCTGATTAACCAGGATTTTACATCCCTAGTTCACCTACAGCCTGGAACCATCCAAATTATTTCTCTTTAGCAGAACTTTTCTTTCCGAGAGGTTTATCATTCCTTTAGATACCAATCAATGTAGGGCCTCTTTCGGCACATGTGACACCCCACTGAAATCAGCGAGCACCTTCCACGCACAAGAATGGCAGAACTACACCTCAGATTTACAAAACACGGGTTGCAGTGTTGCCACAGGGTGCGTACCTTGCTGTCCTTCAGGCGATCTTCTTCTTTGATGGCAGGAATTATTTTTAATGTGATTGAACCCTGAGATTGAGCCTGGAGGGAAAAAAAAGAAAAACACATTTATTGCAATTGAAACAGTGCACAGAAATGCTGCAGAATATGCCCGTTTATGAAGGAATAAGATCCTCCGGAAAAGGACGCTTTTTCCGGAGGATCGGGGCCAGTGTAGATGCTCTTTTCCGGCTTTTCTAAAAGCCGGAAAAAAGCGGCGGACATTTTTATTTAAATGCCGCGGGGGATATTTAAATCCCCCGCGGATTTCCCTATTACGACCTCTGAAATTAACATGCCCCTTCCGGAAAAGGGGCCAGTGTAGACGTAGCTTGTATGTGTTACCCTGTGCGGTATCCTCCTTATGATGGAGTCAGGTATAGCGACTCCAAAGCTAGGCCCGTATTGAGGCTTGCACTAAAATCTCACTCCACAGTTCATGATTACATTCATTTGTCAATGTGGACCTAACTCACGGCTCACAGAATAATACAACTGTGTCTTTTTTTTAAGTACAAAAGCTACTATCTATTTGAGAGAGTCTGTCTGTCTGTCTGGCTATTTGTTCAAGAACTCCTCCTACACAGGAAGAACTAGGCCCATCAAATTCAGTATACGGCTTCCTCTTAACATAATGCAAGGTCAGGGTTTGGTTGTGCCAGGGTGAAGCAGTGTGTGGGTTACAGGTTCAAATCTGCCCGGTGGCGGTTACACCAGGAAAATAGAATATGCCTAGAATGGGATTGCTGCTCCTAAAACCATAGAGAAAAGAGACAGAATCACCAGTCGGGACTGCCCGAGCCTCCCACACCCCAGCTGCCTTTTAAGGAGGGTGAGAGGGGAACTGAAGCTCCCTCCCACACACACATTCATATGGGAACATTGCAGGCTGGTCCCCTTCGCCAGGGAGCGAGGGGAAAGTGCACAGTTTGCTGCATTCCTCAATTCCTCCCTCTAGCTGGGGAGCACAGGAGGCAGATGAACCTGGACCTGCCTCAGGTGCGACACATGCATCCATTCCCCGGCTGTGCCCGCTGGAGCTGCAGTGGCCATGGAGAGGCGCTTCTCACCTGGCCCCAAGCTGCTGTGGTGAGAGAAAGCTGGGGTAACTCTCTCCCTCGGGGGCAGCCTGCCTAGTAAAGCCCCCAGCCCTACCTCAGAGCAGAGATTCCAATGAAGTACGGGCATTTTCATTTCCCTTTCCAAAAAAACAAAAATTAATTGAGTTCAGGACCCGAGCCAAGCCAGGTCAATCTTCCAGCTGACTGTATTTGGCAAATAAAATTCAAAAAGGAGCGCTTGAAAAGGTTTTGTCTTGTTTTCTACATATTTTTCAGGGCTCATCTCGTTAAATATCCAGTGTCCAAAACTCATCACTTCACTGGCCCAGAGATTCCACCTTCAACTTCTCTCTACGAGCCACTCGTGAAATGGCCAAGTGAAACGCCGCTATTCCCCTTAGTCGGCATATCCGTTTTGCTCCGAAACCGAGTTGGCTCATCCAGAACTAACCTGCCTCCCAGACCCATCAGCTTCATTCCTCAGACTATGAGGAGCCAAGGCACAAGAGGGGGTAGGAAATGGGGGGAGGGAACGTTCACGTGGGGGCAGGGCCCTGTTGGGACGAGCAGAGGCGTGAAGGGGCAGACCTGAGCAGGGTTGGGAAGGTGAGGGTCTGAGTGGGGCTTTAAGCATGAAAGTGAGATGCCACAGGGGGTAAGGAAGGAGGTCTGCAGCTGTGCAGTCATGTAGGTAAGGCCCATGTCTCTGACATGAGGCTTCTTTCAGCTCCCTAGCACACCACATCATGAATTCGCTAGGGATATCAATGGTTAACCAGTGGCCCAGCTGAGCTGGAACAACCCTCCACCAGCCCATCTGGGCCAGTCCTCGGCCTACAACAGGCCTTCAAGCCTGGCCAAAGTAATCCCCAGGTGCAGCGGCACAGCCTGGCTGGAGCAGCCTGCCACACCATAGGTGTGGGGGGCACTAGGTGAGCGTCCCTCCACCACCCCATTTAAGCTGTTAACCAGTTAAACATAACACCTAGCCACTTAACTGCTTAAATGGGATTTTATATCCCTAGAATACACTGCAAATATTTTAAAGATACGTGTTTTTTTTTTTAAATCTGCAATTTTCCTGTTATAAACAAACATGAAAGCAAAGTTCTTAGTAAGAACCATAGATATTCAGAAAATCAGTTTCCCTAGGAGGGTGAGGGAAGCACTGGGATGGGTTCTCTAGGGAGGCGGTGGAATCTCCAGCCCTAGAGGTTTTTAAGTCCCGACTTGACAAAGCCCTGGCTGGGATGATTTAGCTGGGGTTGGTCCTGCTGAGGGCAGGGTTTTGGACTCGAAGACGTTCTTAGGTCTCTTCCAACCCTTGGATCCTGAGATAACTTCTGTGTATTATATTTGTCCTATTCAGCATCAAGCTCAAAGTTTCATGCAACTTTTAAAGCTGAACGTTAAACACTCAATGGATAAACAGAGCACAATGTAACGAGCGCCCAAGCTTTTCCCCAGTTACACCTGTGTAATATTATGCACTGAGGGCGCAGGGTCACTGATCTACTGCTTTAACAAGCCAACCTGGTAATAAAAATAGATCTCAACGTAAAAAAATAAAAACAGACCAAAATCTGACTAATTTCTTCTGGCCGTTTATGAAGCACAGCAATCCCATTGACTTCTTTCAGCTCATCTCCAACGTGGACCAGACCTAAAAACAACATAACTGATTAGTTTAACTCTCAGCCTGCTAAGTTGCTGCTCACTTACGACTCACGCCCATTTTAACTGTTTGTACCATACTAGTCCTGTATTCCTTTACCCAGGGTGGCCAACAGGGGGCAGTTGCCTCAGGGCCTGGTGATTTAAAGGGGACTGGGGCTCCTGGCCTCTGCTACTATGGCAGTGGCAGCAGCTGAAGCCCTGGGCCCCTTTAAATAGCCACTGGAGCACTGCGCCACTCTGCACAGCTCTAAGGGATGGGGTGACGGAGGGCTGGCTACCCACAGCCCCCTCCCCTTCCTCCTGAAGCTCCACCCCTTCTGGGGGTGTGGAACTGGCTCCCCACACACACTTTGCCCGGGGGGGGAGCTGCAGAAGCTGCTGACCCCCCAGGCTCTACCAACAATGCATCTCTCAGTCTCCTGCCCACACAAGACTTGGCACTTTTCAGCAATGAACCATAACCACTTAATATGGCAATGGGGAGAGAGAGAGGACACCTGGCAACCCACGTGCCCAACAGTAACGGTCAGAAGTTCAGCATCTACCCACAGGCTCGGTGCAATAGAACTGCCGTGAAGGACCATTTTTACCAAGCTGTTTCAGAACCTCCCTGCACCTGTATCTGAAACTGAATCCCCTGCCTGGGCTTGGCCCAGTCAAATTCTGTTGGCATCAACCATTTTCTTCAAGTATCAGAGGGGTAACCGTGTTAGTCTGAATCTGCAAAAGCGACGAGGAGTCCTGTGGCACCTTATAGACTAACTGAAGTGTAGGAGCATAAGCTTTCGTGGGCAAAGACCCACTTCGTCAGATGCATGTCATGACATGCATCTGACGAAGTGGGTCTTTGCCCACGAAAGCTTATGCTCCTACACTTCAGTTAGTCTATAAGGTGCCACAGGACTCCTCGTCATTTTCTTCAACTGGGTCATAAGGAAAAAAGTTTGAGAATTGCTGCCCTAGAGCAAACCATATAGGTTTGAAGCTTGCTCACACTGTCCAGTTTTGTACTCCTAGTAACATCAGTACAAGTTACTGACCATACTAGAACGTCACAGTGAAATAAACAGCCAGCAGCTCACATTCGTATCAGAGGAATCTCTCTCTCGCCATCTGCTCTGACGTGGAATTCTCAGATATCCGTGAGAAGTTCTGCACAGAATGCTACGGCTTACAGTCACTATGGGTCAGCTTAAAGGATGTCTTACCAATTTATGTAAATTACAGACCACCTTATTTCTTCACTGACCTTTACCTTTGACAGGAAGACTTAGGCCAGGTCTACACCAATGGAGAAAAATCGATGCAAGAAACACAACTCCAGCTACGTGAATTGTGTAGCTGGAGTTGATGCACCTGGCATCGATTTTCTGAGGCGGCCCCACCTCCAGGGTTGATGAAGGGGTACCCTCAGCTTTTGATTAAGCCGGTCCTTACCAGACCCACTAAATCAAACACCGGAAGAAGAGCAACAATCTTCCCAAAAATGTAGCTATGCCTAAAGTTAGTACTAATAGGACAGCTTGATAGACACTCTTATTTCAATCTAATATCGTGACAAAAAGCTACTATAAAGAGACCTTTGAAAAGGGTCAGGACAGTAGCCCTAGTGTGTTAGATCACCAGTATTAGGAGCACAAAGCACCCCAAGGTTCTGGGTTGAAAGGGGAGGGAGGGACCTTCTTGCAATTTTTTTAAAATTAATTTGGAGTTTGAGACTAGTCTTCCTCATTCTATTGGCAGTTTGTATCCTATTGTCCATATTATTAGAGAATCTGATTAAAAAGGCACATTGTTGATGTCAAGTGGAAATGCTAATAGCACTGGTTTAGGCCCCATCACAATAAACTTCGTATCAGATTATTTTCAAATGAAAAATGCTAATAAGAGACTAGAAGAAAGCGGAAATGTACTAATCTTTCTTCATCACAGTCATGCATTAGCATTGGGATTATATTACCACTGTATTAAGAAGGACAAATTATAGCCAACATTAATGACACTTCAATACTTTGTTCTGTAGATCTAAATATCCCCACGCAAGCTCAATTCAAGCTCAGTTAATAAATTCGAATGCAGCTGCCTCCAAGAAGTGCAAGGTCAGATATATTAAGAATCAACCCCGTGGAGACTGGAGATGTGCCGTGTAAGCATTACTTAGCCAGCTGGCAAATGTCAGTATTCAAACAGCTGGCTTTGCTGCGGCCTCACCCTAGTTTTTCATTGTTATAACCTGGTACAAGTTTTACCGAGGAGTATGTCCATTGTATACTGAAATGGCTTGTATTCTGAAACCTACCACTGCGGTCAGCTGCCCCACCTCTCATGATTCTCGCTACAATCACAGCCCCTGTTTGCTCATCCCTTCTGATGGTGGCTCCCTGAAAGATACATAAATAAACCAAAATGAAGCACTTACCCAGAGCACACTGAACAGTGAAACAATGAAAAAACGGATATGAATTCTGAAAGACGGAATGTGTTCTTTTCCTAGCGGGAAGACGGTGAGTACATTTTGTCTTCCTGCTTAACTAATTTTGCCATCAACCCAATATGTGCATGGGCACGGTTTTATGTGTTAATCAAACGGGTAAATACATGTGCAATCCGTTCTTCCACACTATACTCTATGTAGATTAGGTCTCAACTGGAGTCTAGTGTCCTGTTATGGGTGCCACATTCAGGAAAGAGGCGGTTGAACTGGAGGAACTCCAGAGAAGAGTAACAAAAATGATTAAAAGCCTAGAAAATGTGACATAGGAAGGAAAATTGAAAAAAATTAGGCTGGTTCAGTCTGGACAAGAGAAGACTGGGGGAAGACGTAACAGTTCTCCAGTACCTAAAAGGGTGTAACAAAGAGGAAGGAGAAAAATTGTTCTCCTTGACCCCTGAGGATAGGACGAGAAGCAATAAGCAGTTTAGGTTGGACATTAGAAAAAACGTCCTAGCTGTCAAGATAGTTAAGTGTGGGAACAAACAGCCCAGGGAGGTTGTAGAATGTCCATCAGGGAGATTTTTAAGAGCAAGTTAGACACACACCTGTCAGGGATGATAAGTCCTGTATTGTGTATAGGGAGCTAGACTAGATGACCCCTCAAGGTCCTTTCCGTTCCACAATTTTATGGACGGAAGAATCCCAAGCACTGTTACAGGCTGGGGACCGACAGGCTAAGCAGCAGCTCAGCAGAAAAGGACCTGGGGATTACAGTGGATGAGAAGCTGGATATGAGTCAACAATGTGTCTTTGTAGCCAAGCAGGCTAATGGCATCTTAGGGTACATTTCCAGTAGATCTAGGGAAGTGATTATTCCCCTTTATTCAGCACTGGTGAGGTCACATCTGGAGTAGTGTGTCCAGTTCTAAGCCCCCTGCTGAAGAAAGGATGTGGACGCATTGGAGAAGGTCCAGCAGACGGTAACAAAATGATGAGGGGGCTGGAGCATATGACCGACGAGGAGAGGCTGAGGGATTTGGGCTTATTTAGTCTGCAGAAGAGAAGAGTGAGGGGGGGATTTGAGAGCAGCCTTCAGCTTCCTGAAGGGAGGTTCCAAAGAGGATGCAGAGAGGCTGTTCTCAGTAGTGAGAGATGGCAGAACAAGGAGCAATGGTCTCAAATTGCAGTGAGGGAGGTCTAGGTTGGATATTAGGAAAAACTCTTTCC